AAGGATAATCTTTGTGACTAGAGTTCCCATCTCCCAGTGAACTCGCAGAAAGCTAAAGGAGGTTATTTTTCTCATAACATATGCAAAAGAGGACCCTAAAACTTTGGAAGTAGACTGTGTTTTTATCACTTTATCCCAATATTTTAATCAGAATAAGGCAAAAGCAGGTACAACATCAGATGTTGATAAAATTTCCTCTAGTAAAACAAGACAGTATAGCAATGTATGTGTGAAAAATACATAAATAAAATTTTCTCGTTGTTTAAAGTGACAGACATGTATTTTATCTTCATTTGTGTATTGCTGAAAAACAAAAATGTTGAAAGTTGTACTTGTGAGACTCTCTGGAGATGGAGCTCTCCAGGAAGTTTTCTTTGCTTTTCTTGATATTTGATTGGTACCTACAGAGTTAACCACGTTTTAATGCAGTAGAGTGGTGCATGTCCCAGAATGCTCAGAAATTAATTAATAAAGAATCTAAAATACAAATTAGATAATTAATTTATAAACAGATGTAGTATTGCTTTAAATCATATATTTTGCATGTGCGTGTTTTGTGAGACCTTGTTTGTTGTTGGTTCCAAAAACTGATTTTTTTTCCTCCTCCACTTCTTTTTTAAATGAAGCAAGTTACTTATGAAAGTGTTCTGGCTGATGGAACTCTGCCAGCCTATTTTAGTATAACACATTTTTATTCACAAAGAAAGAAAAGGTTATTGCACATGTCATATCTTTATTATACTTGACAAGCTGTGAAGCATGTATTCTAAAAGGAAACAGAAAGTGATATATCAGATTACCATTCCATTAACTGCAACAAGACCTGAGATGCTGGATGGCAAAACTGTGCTGAGTGGACATGGACATTCTTTGCATTAACTTTGCAGAAGGAAGAATATCAAATACAATGCTCCATGGGAAAACCTGGAGGCTGATGTAGGTGGTGTCCTTATTGGTGGGGAAAGCTATCACAACACTGTTGAACTCACTGAAGTCAAATCGAAGAGAAACCCTATGAAAATAAACAAGTCCTTGTTAATCTGGACCCTTATCCATATGTAACATGGACACACACATTTTTTACAAAAACTGTGGGAAAAAAAAAAAAAAAAAAAAAAAAAAAAGTTTTAAATACCTTTCCCAAAACATGTAAATAAAACAGATTTTCAATTTTAAAGTTTTCCAATTCAGAATGTGCACAAATTTATGTAACACCAGAACAAAGACCTAATTTGATTAGGCTGTCTAAATACTACAATGATATTAGTAATTTCTGTGTACTAAACTCAGGAAAAAAAAAAATCTTTCATCTACTTGTGAAATTTGGCCACTTATAGTGAGGACTAGGCCTGTTTGTTGTTTGTTTGTTTGTTTTTTCACTTTGACAGTAATTGGCAGGAGAGCTTAATTCAAATACGGTGGAATGAATATAATCTCCTGGTACATTGGCATTCAATGCCATTCAAAGACAAAGGCATGCAGGTACCAAGTAAACTCATAAATTAAAAATTATCAGCTCATAAATGTTTTAGAACACTGGGGTCTGATATTCTAATCCAGTTCTATTGGGTCTCAATTTTATTGGGTCTCATTTTTTGGCTTCTACATACAGCCACAACATGCAATAAATAAGTGTATGTTACAATATTTTAATAGTGGCTCCAGAGAAATTAGTAAAAAGTATTTTAAAAAGTGACTTGATGGAAGAGGAAGAAGAAGGAAGAGAGAGAGAGAGAGAGAGAGAGAGAGAGAGAATGAGAAAGGAGGGAAGGAGGGAAGGAAGGAAAAGAAAGAAAGAAAGGAAGGAAGGAAGGAAGGAAGGAAGGAAGGAAGGAGGAAGGAAGGAAGGAAGGAAGGAAGGAAGGAAGGAAGGAAGGAAGGAAGGAAGGAAGGAAGGAAGGAAGGAAGGAAGGACTTTTCCAATATTTCATCTGTATAGAAGAACATTTTATTACCTGCGTTTTATGGCCCTGCTTGCAATAATGAGCAGGAATAGCACAGTGTCCAGATTAGTAGGCATCAGTGCTACCGTAAATCATTATAAAATAAGACAATTCTTCAAAGAAACACTAAACTTGTCAGTGGCCCACCTTTTAAATAACATTTTGTATGAATTTTAATGCCATGAGATAAGCTCTTAGAAGCAGGTATTTCTGCATGAAGAATGAGATTTGAAATAATAGATTTAGCATTGAATTGAGAGACAAAATCTATAGCCTTGCTATGTGAACAAGCCAGAATGTAATAAAGGAAATATAAAAGAATTAGACAATTTTGTCATCTGCTTTGTTTGTTTTGGCAACCAGGCACCCTGGCATATCACCAGGAAGAAATTCAAAAATTTGTGAGATTTTAAATAAAATATGGGAACATGTCTTGCCAAGAATGAAAGCACTGAAGAAAGTTCTGGCAAACTTCTGTATCAACACCTTTATCATTATGTGACTCTGCTACAATATGATCCTGAAAAAACAGGAGACTTATTTTGATCATGTTTATTTGTACTGTTACATTGATTTTATTGTAAGTAAATGTTTCTTAAGAGACAATAAAAAAATTGTAGTATGAAAACTCAAAAATTCAGGCTCCACAAACACAGTGCAAATCACACATTAAGGCATGATATATGATGACAGGAGACAGGCCCTAGAATCATAAAAATGCTGAAGGAAATAGAATGCAGAGTTTTCTTCCTGCCCTTTTAGATTTGCTGAAAGGCTATTCAAAGAAATTCTGTGTGAAAAATCAAAATAGTTAACTACTTAAAAATTATTTCTCCCCACAAAATGCAAAATTGAAATACATTAAATGTCTTTTTTTGTGTGTGTGAGAACTGGTCCATTTTGTAATCTAGATTATTCCTTAGAAACTTCCTACCTGGAAACATCTTCAAGAAATCAAAGAAAAAGAGAAATGTATGCCTCTGAGTCATTCATTTGGTCAGTGTTAATCTTCTGGCCTTTTTAATGTGCTATGAAGCCTTCAAACACCTTTGAACATTGCACATATAGCATCTGGGGGTACTGGGCTTGTCAACCCATTTCAATCATATCTGTCATGTGGACCTTAGGCACAGCTGTTCTTGGCTCTTGGGTATATATTTGCATGTGAAAGAACAAACTTGGATTTTGTCTATGCAAGATTCTGTACACTATAATTTATAGATGCACATCATAACATTTGCACAGATACCAGTATTGAGCAAATATATGACTGAGTACCAGCAGCTTCATTATCTAGCTTCTGGCTTCCACCACTATTTTTTTCCCGATAAATATAACTAAATATAGTTACACGGACATTTTCAAAGGTCTCTTTCTCCTGTTTCTATTTATGGACTAAGAGGAGTTTAACAGACTATAAGACCTTTTCGTGTGAGAAATCAAGCTGCTTTTCTCTAGAATGTCAACTCCTCTGGCCAGCAGAGAAGCAAAGGGGAGGGCTGATTAGATGGAAATTGCCTCTGTTTAGGTGGTAGGAACCCATTTTGAAACTTCTGACCTGACTGGCCTATTGTGTCAGATTTTCACGTTCTCCAGTTGGAATGTCACTGTCTACACCCCAGCAAATCTACCATGATTTGTTTTTCCAACTACCTTGTTTCTTGCTATGTTAATCCTTTGGGCATATATGAGGATACTCTACAAATCCCCAGTAGATGTCAACTGACTGCAGCCAACTGAACAGCACTGAGTTAAAGCCATTGATGTTTCACCTTTGCTTATCCACTAAGCATCATAGATTCCAAAAACCCTGACAGCCACAAATCTGGAAGCTGTGCAATATACTCACAGATTTTATTCTAATGGCTGCGACAAGGAAAACCTTTCCATGTTGTCATTGTAAGGTAAGATAATTTTAGACCTTTTTTTTTTTTTTTTTTTTTTTTGCTGACACAAATGACTACATACAGTGCTTGACTGGAGAGGGTTTTGTTGGATCTGGCAAGTTATTCAGCTCTCACTTTATTGTATTTGGGGATGGAAGCTAGAAACATTTTTTTCCAATTTCATATAATTGCACTGAACCTGCCATAATCAAAATATTAAAACTACTGATATTCTGCGAATTTGGGATACCTCCCTTCAGCAATAGATAAAATTAACCTTTACATGTAAATAGTCATCGCTTGTTTGAGGCAATATTTTTGAAAGTTGATTTTTTTTTTTTAATTTTGAAAATCTTTGTTACTGCTTTGTTTCACTGGGATCTCTGATGTTTTCTGCAGGCATATCTTGGTTGAGGTGTTTGAAGGGTTAGTGGCTGAAGAACTTTGTGTTCTGCCAAAGCTGCATGTGATTGTTGCCTGGTAACGATACCTGTGGCATAAAAGGTATTGCATCAGGCATATGCTTGTTCCTACCTCTTTTTAGGGGACAGTGAAGAATTATAGAGAAGATATATTTTATTTAAAGGGCCTAGAAGATCTTTGACTGTTACTAAGAGATGAAGCTGAAAGAGAAATTTTGTGAAACCAATAAATCTTTGGAGACTGCCTTCAGTAAACCAGTACAGAATTAAATGAACTTCCATTTCAACATTCTAGATAGCTGCCAGAGCAAAACAACCTGCTTTCTGCTGCTTACTGGGAGTCTCATACCAGCACTGAAGCAGCTAGGCAGCCAATTGCTCTGGAGAGTAATTAGGTATAGGGTCCTCAGTGTTGTGGCCTCAGGTATGTGTGACATTCCAATGTGTTTAAGCATCAACCAACTAGACCATGTGCTGTGCTCTGCACCTCTAGTGCTCATCGGTCACAGGCTGTGTGCCTTTGAAAGGGGAGACATAACACTACACAGCAGTCCAGGAGCTCAATGAAAAAGAATCTGCACAGCTCCCGTTCCTCCCATGACCAATGCAGCTCTGTGACAAGACAAAATTTTTCCCTATTATCAACAGGACCGAAACCCACAGACAGACCAAAACAGTATCAGTTGATCAGATAAAGCCTGCATTAAGTCTGTCAGAGCTGGATGGGACCTCTGCTATTACCTCCTCATCTTCTCATCTGTTCCACCATTTTTCAAGTAGGTTTATTCCTGCACCTATTCACTTGTTGAGGAACAGGGAGAAGCTATTTTCTTTTAAAAGTTTTGGTTGGTTTTATTCAGCTAGGTAACTTGAGCTTCACCACAACCACTCCTCTTCCTCAAAGAAAAAGGGGGCAAAATATGATGAAAAGAGCTCAAAGGTTAAGATAAAGATGGAGATTACTCAACAATTATCATCACAGTCAAAACAGACTCAGCACAGAGAGATTAATGTGATTTATTCCCTATTGCTAACAAGCTAGAGCAGCAAGAAACTAAAAACAAACTAAAAAACCACCTTCCTCCCATTCATCCTCTTTCATGTCCTCCCCCCAAGCAGCACAGAGGAATGGGGGCTATGGTCAGTCCCTAGCATTTCATCTCTGCTGCTTCTTCACAGCCACTGCCTGCTCCTGCTCCACATGGGGTCCCTCCCACAGGATGCTGTCCTTCCCGAACTGATCCAGCGTGGGCTCCTCTCCGCGGGCTGCAGTTCTGGCCTGGGGCCTGCTTCTGCAGGGGCTCTCCAAGGGCTGCAGCCTCCTCCAGGCCACATCCACCTGCTCCACTGGGGGCTCTTCCATGGGCTGCAGCGTGGAGATCTGCTCCTTGTGGGACCCATGGGTGCAGGGAGACAGCCTGCTCCACCAGAGGCCTCTCCACAGGCCACAGGGGAACTTCTGCTCCATGCCTGGAGCACCTCCTGTCCTCTTTCTGTACTAACATTGGTGTCTGCAAGTCACCTCGTATTTCCCAGCTGCTGTTGTGCAGCATTTTTTTCCCCTTTCTTAAATTTACTCTCAGAGGTGTACAGTATTGCTTATTGCTTGTCTCTGGCCAGTGACAGGTCCCTTTGGAGCCAGCTGAAACAGGTCCTTATTTAGCATGGGGCAGCTGCTGGACTCTTCTCAGAAACGCCACCCCTGCAAAGCCCCTCTACCAAAGCCTTGCCATGCAAACCCAGTACATATGTAATCATAGTTATAATTTGTAATAAAGGGTAAACAATGACTATGTGACAGAAATGGACAGATAGACAAAGGGTGTGTTTTGCATGCCTTCTTAATGGCATCACAGGTTATTAACAGGCTGTCAAACTGCTGTTTGGAAAACAGTGAGCATCAATGAGTAGTCTGAGGGTCCTTGTTAAAGAGATCTGGACAACATCCCCAGTTCCGCTCAGTTTGAGGATGAGCAGATGTCTGCTAGTCCCAAATGCTGAAGATTACTTGGGAAAAATGCACTGATACTATAAGACCACAGATGGGACCTCTGGAGATCATCCAGTCCAAATCCACCACCCAGAGCAGGGTCAGCTAGAGAAGCTTGCCCAAGACCTTGCCCACTCCATATGTCAAAGAAACTCCTGTCCACTGCTTAACTCCTTTCAAGTATCTCTTTAGTATTTATAAGCTCAGGCTGACTGATACCATAAAGTCAGATGTGGCAAGGTCGAAAGGAAGAGATAGAGTCTTTTAACCAAATTTCCCATTTACTACTGTCAGAGAAGTTTGCCTATTAATTGTGGCATCAAGTCCAATAACCTCTAGCTGATTACAGTAAATCTTTTAGGCTGACATTTTAATCTTGATTTTAAAACTCCATGTGACAGAGAAGCCAGAACATCCCTTGGACAAATTATTCTAGTGATTAATTACAGCTTCTATTAAATAAAAATAATTAAAAAAATGCAGTATTTCTTATCTGAATTTTTCCAGAGATGAATGTTGTTATGAAGTCTGCTAGATTAAGACTTCTATTGTCAGAATTTTTCCCCCAGATAAATATTTATGGACCATGATATTCATATTTTCACATGCTCATGGATAAGACATATCCAGTAGCAGTCACAGCATAGCATTCTGTGCAGTTTTAACAATTATTGAAATGCTGTTTCACTGTGCTGCTGCTTAAGTAGTTGTGACATGATCCATCACAGCATATTTTATAAAAAATGAAAGGAGAATAAGGGTGCTGGTTAGATTCTGTGGAAAAAATAAAGGGTGAAGATGGGGAAAGGAAGGAGAGAATAAATCTAGCCCATACAGCTACATTTATTCTCAAATCTCTTGTGTCTAGAGTTCACATTTTCTACATTTTGTTTTCATTAAATGGAATCTTAACCTTGGGCATAAAATGATTTCAAATAAACAGCTACTAAACACTAGAGAGGTAGAAGGTTGTGTAATGCCTGAGTGCTGAACACTAGCAAAGTTGTGTAATTTTTTTTGTTGCTAACCCAGTTTAATCCAGCCTTCCTCATATTTTATAACTGTTCAACCTGAAGGGTAAAATGTGTGCATTTCTGAGGATAACTGTATTAAATCCAGTGAAATGACCCATCCAAGCAGAGCCCAGAATCCATCAAACACTAGCACCCTCACTACCCTCGTTCCTAACTCCCTCTCTAATCCAAAATCCTTCAATTACATCAATAAAATCCTAGGAGGAAAAAGAAAAAAAAGTGAAAAAAGTGCCTGGAAATATGTTAAAATTACAACAGCAGAGTTCTTAACACAGCTCTTCCCCTTTGAATTTGTGAGCCATGCTTCTACCAGTCCCAACTGCAGGCTAAAGATTTATGGCACAGTATCATGCTTGCTTTTAGAGGGCTGAAGGCTTTATACATCCACAATAGCAATTTATTCCTTCAGGAAACAACAGCAGGTGCAGAACACTGACTAGCTGAATTCTTCAGGAATGTGTACTTCTGCATAATGCTGAAATTATGATAATCTCTGAAATTGTTTTCTTATTTGGATATAAGGGTGACCTATACCCTTCTAGCTAAGAACAGATGCTGAAAGTCTTCACAGAGTTTCTCCCTCAACACCCACAAACAAATGAGGATTTTACAGCAATCCACAGCTCTTAATCCCAGTGCCAAAGAGTGAGTGTACCTGACAAGGGTCATCCTCTCTTTGTGCCTGAATACTGAGTGGTCAGACTTGTGCTGCATGTCTGTCAGGCACATTGGAGCAGCCAGGTCTTGTGAAAGAGAGCTCTTCAGCACCTACCACTGCTTGCTTCTGGAGACAGATTACTGCACAGGGTGGGATGCTCAGACCCACCAGGCCAGCAACCGTGTTCTCACGAAGGCACCTTAAAAACAAGTTTGTATATAAATAAGGTTAGTAACATTCTGAATCTCACTGAACGCTCCAAAACTTTTCCCTGTTGCGTCACTGGTTATATTTTTTAAGAAAAATTAAGCTTCCTCTGAACTAGTTTCCACCGAAGCTGCTCCATAGCTCCATCTGATGAGCTGCATAGGTAGGCTGCCCACAGCCATAGCCTGTCTCTCTCCACCAGCTGCATCAGCCACATGCAGCCACAGATAGGCAAACACTTACCTTTGGGAAATCAACACCAGCTAATTAGTATTTACATTCTCAATTACAGGTGAGTAGGAGTAAATTTGTCTATGCTTCTTTTCAAATCTTTAGTTTATAATTAAAATATCGGCATTGTTTTTAAGAGCACCTGTCTCCAGTTTCTATACTGAGCCTAGTAATCTACTATTAACATTTTTCAGCTGATCACGTTATCCTCACAGCTGTGCTCTCTGCAGTTTGTGGTGGAGGTGGTTTAAACAAAAGCCATAGGAGATGAACACTGTAACCAACCTGGAATAATGCAGAGCAAGCTGGCAGACCTGAGGCACTTGGCGCTGACTGGGCTGCAGAAGCACATATAAATGCTAATGTAGCTGGAGTTTTCTTTGAGGCAGAATGGAGGGACACACTGGAAAATGTCTATGAAAGACAGCTTCCTAGAGATGCAAGTTCATTCAAGCCAAGGATGAAGGCTTCATGAACTGTTTACCATCTCTCTACACTCTTCTTTCCACACAGATTAAGCAGTATGTCTGGCCACAAGCACATTTCCAAGCAGAAGTATTTGAGCTCATACCTATTTTTTTTTTTCCTTTTTATTGACTGTGGTTCTTATCAGCCTGATGGAATGATATCTGAGAGAAGAAGAGAGATTTGATTCCTCCTTGAGGAGACACAGTAGAGAAGTTGGAGCTGGCTATTTCAAATGAAGAAGGGTAACTGTGGCTCTCTTCACTGCTGTTTCTCTTCTTTTCCTCTAATCTTCATGATTATCCACAAATAACTTCCAAGGCACGTGCTTTCCTGACACCAGTCATATCATCAGATGTGTCTCTGCTTTAATAACACTAGCAGTAGAAGTATGCTTTATATTGTTGACTAGTAGAAGTCAGATCTTCTTCAGCAAGGAGAGCAGAAGGATTCCATGAAGTAGTTAGGAGTTCATTAGAAGCAAACTGATGGGAGAAGTAATTAATCAGTAATAAGTGCCCATTTTCTACACGGGTATTAAGAAAAAATAATAATAATAATAATCTCCTACTTCCAAAATTTTACTGAGAATTTCAACTGACAAAAATGCAACTGAAGAAATCATGTTTTCATGATTTGTTTGTTTTATAAGAACACAAAAATTCCATCTTGTCTTTATTTTTACAGAACGTAAGAAACCAAAACCATCTTATGATTCACCTGGCATCATCCTCAAAATGGACCATGTGAATAGTAGTTCTATGTGCTGTGTTAAAATACATGTTTTGTTTGTTTGCTTTCTAATTCAAAACACTGTAGCATATTTCAGTGCATAGGATCTAAAGTCAGCTCCCTCCAGCTGTCCTTTTTCAGGAAGAGTACAGGAGAGTTTTAAGAGTTTCTAAGCTCTGTCAGAACTACAGTGTCAGAAAGTGTATTGAATGTCATCAATCTTCAACAACATAAGTTTACATCTATGGTGATGTTGTAACAGTAATACATGATACTGCAGGTGCATCAACTTGGGTTGATGGGGAGGAGTTTCTGGCTTTGGATGTACTTGGTGTGGCATATATATATATAAAAAAAAAAAAAAAAAAAAAAAGAGCTGGCCACAAAGCCACATTTGACTCAAATCTAACCTTCTAACAGAAACACAAAAAAAATACATAAGTATTAAGTAAGACTGTATTTTTCCTTGTTTCAGTTTTAGTCGAATAAAGAAGCAAAGATGATAAACTGTATTGTCAATAGGAGGAATTTTCCATCTAGTAAACCAGTATAGCAAAATCCAGCAAAGTTCTCCCAAAAGAGGCCTTGCCCTAGAAATCTGAGAGCTAGATGAGGTACCATGAAACTAGCTGGCACTTCCACAGGTTGCTCACAGGATAATAAAGATGAGATAGCCTTTTTCTCCTTTCACTCTTTCCTTCATGTTAGTTCTTTTTAAGGCCAGGCTGACAGGCAAATGAGTTTTTATCCTTTATCTCTCTCTCTCTCTCTCTCTTTCTCTATTTTAAATGTTTGATTTTGATATTCTTTCCAGGTATTAAACAGGAGAATAGAGCAATCCCAGCAGCTGCTTCGTTAGGCACTGTGAAGCCTCTTGAAAGAAGCAAGCCCTAACCCAGTCTATGTATGAAGGATGGATAAAAAAAAAATGGTAGAAAAGAAACAGTTTCCTCCCCTGACTCTATCTGTGGCTTGAGGTATAGACAGCTCAGAAACGTTGTAATGGTTTTCCTAAGCTTATGCAGGAGATACATGACAGAAGGGTGGACTGAAGCAAGACCCTGCCCTGCTCTCGGACTTTAATCACAAACTAACTCTTCCCTTCTTGGTATCTGTCCTTAGAATAAAATCTTTAGAGGTCAGAACCCAGACACATTTCCCCTCTCAGGTTAGGTAAATTTAAAATATATACATATGGAAGTTATGTTTGCTTTTGCTCAATGACAAGAGACTGGGTTGGACTTCTTTCCTCCAAAAAAAAAGCCTCAGGCTAAATCCATGGACTGAAACACCACACACATCTGTGAGACAGCAGCAAAGAAAAAAAAAAAAAAAAGCTATTAAAGCCAGAAGATTTTTCTGATTCCTGTTGGTCATCATCTGCATTTATTAAAGGGTTTGTTTGTTTGTTTGTTTGTTTGTTTGTTTGTTTTTGAGATTAACTCTCCACCAAGTTCAGTTTCCTTTGGAGCTTTGCAACATGTATATAATGTTAAAGTTACCACTCTCTTAGACCTACATAAAAAAATTTCAGTGCAAAGTGAGATGATTTTCCATTTGATTTCTTTCCAATCTCTCTCTCTCTCTCTCTCTCCCTTTTTCATCTTAATCTGTTTATTTCAAGAACTTTTCTAAGGATGAAAGATTTGTCCTCTGGTTATTTTTTAGTATCTACACCGATAGCCTGCCTCTTCAATAGCACATGACTTAGAAGTGACAAGAAACCCACTAATCTGCTTCTCCTAATTTTTGATGGAATTTGGTTAAATCCTGTAACTTAAAAATTATGTCCTTGTTAAAACTTTCTCTCCCATTGTAGCTTTCAAATATGTTTTGAATTCTCCCTTAACTTTTGATTCCTAGTTATATTACATAACTACATAATATACACACATACATAATATTCCTAGTTATTTCTAGTTATATTCCTAATAATATTACAAGTCAGAATTTCCTGTAAGTATTCATTCTCTTTTGCTGTTACTGTTTCTCATATTTAGCTTTCTGTTTACATATAAGCCACTCTTGACCCTTCTGTCCTGGTCTGAAATGTATGTTCCACTTAAACACTAGTTATTTAAATACTTTTTTCAAAGTAGCATTATAATTTTTTTTTTTATTGGTGGAGAAATTTCCTTTATCATAACACCAGAGTTTAAAACAGGTGGAACCATCTTCTCTGCCCTATAAAATGACCACAAGAATACACAATGAATAATTACTTCTCTCTGATATTCAGCATGTCAATATGCTGAATATGTCAATATGTGCCCTTTAGATCCCAGTCAGTGAAATGGAAGAAAATAATAAGTTTTGAAGAATATAAAGTGATGAGACCAAAATTGCTACAAATCTCCCAAAAGGAAGATTAACTGGGAAAATTATTCCTGGCATATGCTTTAGGATACCATTTCCCCTATTCAGCCTCTGTAAACAGCAGTCAGTGGTATGCCAGAAGGAAGCTGATTGTATCTACAGGGACCATATTAGATGCCTTTAGCAAGGGTCATTGTCTAACAGTTCTTTAACTGACTCACAAAATGAGAAAAAGGATAGCATCAAGTTTCTTACAACTTTTTCTTCCCAGCCACCAAAACCAGCATCCCACTGTAGTTGTGGCTGAAAAACTCAGAACACAAATAAAGATTGAAATAGTTAGCTTAACAGGTATAAAGTTAGAAAACATGTTTTCTTTCTCTGAAGAAGAGGCATAAAACTAATGATGATACAAACATCTTTACTTAGAGAAAAACAAAGTAGATTAGGAGCAACAGTTCTCTGAGTGAATATTCTAAATTCATAAAATTGCTCTTTATCTTTCTAAACAATAAATTGTCAAAGAGCAATTTTTAAGAAGCTCTGCAGGAAGAAATCAACATAATTATTTCTTCTTAAACAAATAGCACATGCAATCCAGCCTTTCTGTAGTTATGGAAGTTTTAGGCAATGTACTCTTCTGCATTCATTAAACAGAACCTGCAGATCATGCATCCTCTGTCCAGAGGCAATCAGAATTGTAACAACTGCATAATGTCTCTAAAAGCTAATCATGCAGATCTCCATCAATTATGCAAAATAAATAAATAAATAAATAAAAAATCAGTAATTACAGAATGCAGTTATCATTCATTAAAATGCAAGCGAGGTACAATTTTTTTAGGTAACTACATTCATTTAAAGTGTTTTTAAAGTATTTTTTCTTAAACAACAATGTACGTTCATAAGCATCATCAAAATTGATAGACAAATGCTCCACTGACACAGATCCTGGCTAATAGCCAAAGTTTGTTATTCATTTAGAAAATTGGTTTCTAAGGAAAATCATTGAGCTGACTAGATGATGTAAACAGAAATCAACATATAGAATTCACCTTTGCTGAATGAATTATTGATTATTACATTTCCTTTAAAACCTATTTATTTATTCTTTTATTATTATTATTACGTCTATGTATAAGAGTTAAATAAAATGCTTATTTATCTGTTAGTGAAACACAGTATAACAGCTCCAGTATGTAACTGCTTCCTCCATACATCCAAACATTTAAGCTTACCACTCTACAGGCCAGCACACAGCATTCGTTGTTGGCCTATATGGAGGAAGTTTGAGGAATTTAACCTAATTTCCAAACCCTGAATAAATTAATGGCAAATCAGATCAGGCATTATCTCTAATCACTTCACCTAGATGAACATAGAAGCTATGTCCAGTGGCACTCATGAAGGCTGAGCTAACAAACTTTTGTTGAGCATTGAAGCAATGGGAAATTACACAAGGACACCCACATAACACACACCAAAAAACACCTGGCTTAAAGTAATATTTTCCCCAGTGATTTTATCAAAGACTTCATTGCAAAGGAATAAACTATCATTCTTCCTTTACAACTAATTTTTTCTCTCTTCAGAACACATGCAGATGAAATGGCACTATT